GTACTTATCACAAAGTGTCTAACAAAAAGGTACAAATACTTATCACAAAGTGTCTAACAAAAAGGTACAAGTACTTATCACAAAGTGTCTAATAAAAAGGTTCATGTACTTATTACAAAGTGTCTAACAAAAAGGTACCAGTACTTATCACAAAGTAACTAACAAAAAGGTATAAGTACTTATCACAAAGTCATTAACAAAAACGTGCCGGTAATTATCACAAGGTAACTAACAAAAAGGTACCGGTACTTATCACAAAGTAACTAACAAAAAGGTGCCGGTACTTATCACAGAGTCATTAACAAAAAGGTGCCGGTACTTATCGGAAAGTGTCTTTAAAAAAAGGTGACATTTAATAAAGAATCCAAAGTTGAGAGGATAGTCTTCACTGCTTTTGTTTTTATCACATACTTTGTGTCTGTCCACTGAACAATAGCCACCTACCGATTAATCGCACAAAGCACGAATCTTGTAGCTCCTGCAATGATTCCAAAGAATCTCCGTTAGAAACTGCACGCGTGAACCGAACAACGCATTCATGAAACAAACCCAAGATATTTCGGAGCGAGAGGTTAACTGCTGGGCTTCTTTTCCACAAAGACCCACATATAATAGGTTCGCTGTATATGTTCAGTCGCAAGAAATCACTAAAATAATTTCTTTTATTACTAACTGAAGTTCTTACATGCAATAAGTACTTACGTCTGAAATATGTCAGCCTAGAAACTTTAAGACAGAATTCGTCAAAATATTAAGACGGACACGGTGAGTTAATATAGAACCTGTCTGAAACATAAGTAGTCAACCTAATAAGTCGGACACAGAGAGCAAAAATAATACCTGTCTGAGACATAAGTGGTCAATCTAATAAGTTGGACACAGAGAGCTAATATAACACATGTCTGAGACAGAAGTGGTCAACCTAATAAGTCGGACACAGAATGCTAATATAATACATGTCTGAGACAGAAGTGGTCATCCTAATAAGTCGGACACAGAATGCTAATATAATACATGTCTGAGACAGAAGTGGTCAACCTAATAAGTCGGACACAGAGAGCTAATATAGTACCTGTCTGAGACAGAAGTAGTCAACCTAATAAGTCTGACACAGAGAGCAAATATAATACATGTCTGAGACAGAAGTGGTCATCCTAATAAGTCGGACACAGAATGCTAATATAATAAATGTCTGGGATGTGGTCAACCTAATAAGTCGGACACAGAGCAAATATAATACATGTCTGAGACAAAAGTGGTCAACCTAATAAGTCATACACAGAAAGCTAATATAGTACCTGTCTGAGACAGAAGTAGTCAACCTAATTAGTCGGACACAGAGAGCAAATATAATACATGTCTGAGACAGAAGTGGTCAACCTAATAAGTCGGACACAGAGAGCAAATATAATACATGTCTGAGACAAAAGTGGTGAACCTAATAAGTCGGACACAGAGAGCAAATATAATACATGTCGGAGACAAAAGTGGTGAACCTAATAAGTCGGACACAGAGAGCAAATATAATACATGTCTCAGACAGAAGTGGTCAACCTAATAAGTCGGACACAGAAAGCTAATATAGTACCTGCCTAAGACAGAAGTAGTCAACCTAGTGAGTCAGACACAGAGAGCTAATATAATGTATGTCTGAGACAAAAGTAGTCAACCTAATAAGGCGGACACAGAGAGCAAATATAATACATGTCTGGGACAGAAGTGGTCAACCTAATAAGTCGGACACAGAGAGTAAATATAATACATGTCTGAGACAAAAGTGGTCAACCTAATAAGTCAGACACAGAAAGCTAGTATAGTACCTGTCTGGGACAGAAGTGGTCAACCTAATAAGTCGGACACAGAGAGCAAATATAATACATGTCTGAGACAGAAGTGGTGAACCTATTAAGTCAGACACAGAGAGCTAATATAATATATGTCTGAGACAAAAGTAGTCAACCTAATAAGTCGGACACAGAGAGCAAATATCATACATGTCTGGGACAGAAGTGGTCAACCTAATAAGTCAGACACAGAGAGCTAATATAATACATGTCTGAGGCAGAAGTAGTCAACCTAATAAGTCAGACACAGAAAGCTGATATAGTACCTGCCTAAGACAGAAGTAGTCAACCTAATAAGTCAGACACAAAGAGCTAATATAATACATGTCTGAGACAGAAGTGGTCAACCTAATAAGTCGGACACAGAGCGCAAATATAATACATGTCTGAGACAGGAGTGGTCAACCTAATAAGTCGGACACAGAAAGCAAATATAATACATGTCTGAGACAGAAGTGATCAACCTAATAAGTCGGACACAGAGAGCTAATACATGTCTGAGAAAGTGGTAGTCAACCTAATAAGTTAGACACAGAGCGCAAATATAATACCTGTCTGAGACAGAATTGGTCAACCTAATAAGTCGGACACAGAAAGCTGATATAATACATGTCTGAGACAGAGGTAGTCAACCTAATAAGTCGGACACAGAGAGCTAATATAATACCTATCTGAGACAAAAGTAGTCAACCTAATAAGTCGGACACAGAGAGATAATATAATACATGTCTGAGACAGAAGTAGTCAACCTAATAAGTCGGACACAGAGAGATAATATAATACATGTCTGAGACAGAAGTAGTCAACCTAATAAGTCGGACACAAAGAGCAAATATAATACATGTCTGAGACAGAAGTAGTCAACCGAATAAGTCGGACACAGAGAACTAATATAATACATGTCTGAGACAGAAGTGGTCAACCAAATAAGTCTGACACAGAGAGCTAATAATACATTTCTGAGACAGAAGTGGTTGACTAGCAAGACCCTCCCGCGTTAAGAAAGACCTTCCACAGTTATAGCACGAGACTTCACGACTGTTGTTACCATCACTTGCATTTAGTGGGTTTCCTTTCAGAGACTTAGTCTCTAATTTTTCTGTAATCATTTCTTCCTCGATTCTTAGCTATATTATAATCCTCCCTTCGTGGGATGTAATTATTTGTTTGAAGCCCTACCCTGGCTTCTGCCGGGGGCCCTGAATATATCGGGGACATAAATATGGCCTAACAGCTGAAAGGGGTTTCTGAGACCCCTCCACGGGTGATTTTCATTCGCATTGTGGCACTTTGTGTCACCGGGTATTTATCGCTTGCATGATGTCCTGGTGGGGTACAACAACCCACCTACCTGGCTCCATTCTCATCCCGTTCCGGATTCACCCTCTCCACACAACGCGGTCCATGACATTTTATTGCCACGAATCAACCTCAATCCATGTATCTTTCATGTTTCCCTTTTACACATTTTTATATCGTAGTAGAGGTCGGCCTCGACATCTTGTACCCATCTGTAAGTTATTTTACCATACACAGTGTAACCCAACGTTTCTAAAACTTTTTGTGACGCGGCACCCGGCAAAATATTTTTCGTTGCACCGTACTTTTGAAGCTGTTTAAATACTTAGGGGGAAAAAAAGAAAAAGGAAAAAAAAAAAAAAAAAAACAGTGCACATTTAACGTTTAGGTGTCTTTATTGCGATGATTAAAACTGTTTGGATGAACTGTTTAATTACTTTCCTTATGTATATGAGAAGTTTAGTTAATTCTACCCTCAAATCAGTTGACCGAGAAAGTTTGCTACTCTGCATCCTTGCCATTAGCATTGTCTTCTAAAAACACTTGCACAAGTAAATACACTTGAAAAAAAATATTTGATTATTGGAGCTGCACCCCTGGCATAGGCTCGCGGCAGCCAGTTTGAGAACCATTGGTGTAACCAATAAACTTATGGTGAGTGCCTTGATATAACAGGAACACAACAGTGAAAACAAGGACATAAAGACTGCAATGTTTTGCAAGTGATAAAATAGTAACAACTCACATATTTTGCTATAGGTGACTCTGTCAGATGGAGCACGCCATTGAAGGATTCTATATTTCCTTGGACTATTTTCACGTCGTTGGCAAAGAACTGGAAACAAAAAGAAAGAAAGAAAAAAGTTTTTGTGTGTGTGTGGGCAAGCGCTATATTATTCACAGTCGGCTCTGTGGCTAAGTCGATGCGAACGCTTCGTAATGCCGGGGTACCGGGTTCGATTCCAGCTTACGCCTTGTGTTGGTTTCGAGAGTGGTATCAGGGAGCCTACCGTCCAGCGAGCAATGGCAAACTACTGGACGTAAATTTGCTTAGTGAAACCACACAACAGCCAGTGGCTGATGGAGTTGGTTCTGCAACGTCCTGTAAAGGATACGCAACTAACCATATTATTCACAGATGCTTTGTGCAGAAGCGGGAACCGCGCTCGTTTAGCGGCAGATCCGACGATGCGGGTTCGGGTCGTGACGGAGCCGTACTGGGAAAAAAAAAAAAAAAGACAGGAAATGACTTTGACTTCGAATCGACCCTGCCTCAAAAGAGTACCAGGTGAAATCCTGGAAAGTAAAGGCGACCAGCATGGCGTTGATCGTATTATCAACCGAGTGCTGATTGGTGAATATTATATATATACCCTAGCATGGTATGAACTGAACTGAATTTCTACCCCACCAGGACATCACACAAGCGATAAACATCCGATGACACAAAGTGCCACCATGTGAATGAGGATCGCCGTGGAGAGGTCCCAGAAACCGCGTTCAGACATTTGGCCATATTTATGGCCTGCCTATATTGCGGCCCCTGGCAAAAGCCAGAGTGGGGCTTCAAATAACAAAAAATTACGTCCTAAAAAGGACGTAAGGATATCTATATTTCCTAGCATGGTATGCCCATAAGCCTGAAGTCGCGGAAAATGGTCCGTTACTTTGAAGAAAAAAAAAACTTTTATATACATTACAGTATTACATAAATACATTACATTGTCTTATATTAAAATGTCCTAGGCGTTGCGAGTCCGACTCGTAAATCCAACGTACCACGATCGAAACCCACTGCTGGCTGTGAGGATTTTTATCATTGTATGGACCGTTACAGGTCGACCCAGCCTGAAATGGGTACCAGGATGGTTATCCTAGGGAAGTAAAGACGTGATGATGACCATATTATCCACCTAGTGCCGATTGTCTGTAAAAATATGGGCGCTCTTCCTATATGCCCAATGCGTCTAAAGGCTTAAAAAGGGCTCATTACTTTAAAAAAAAAAAAAAAAACTTTACCTAGTTAATAATAGGTATTTTAGTGTCTCTTATAGTTCGAATCCTCGGTAAGGCTGGAGATTCTTTCTGTCGGGAGCAAAATAAAATCCTCACATGCATAGTCGTGATGACAGCACTAGCCATGCGGCCGTCAATCCCCGGGCTCAGACCACCCTGCCTACACCGCAAACGTAGTATGATAAAAGCAGCAATCGGCAGTGTCTCTTATTATGCTAAACAAAAACGCTTACCTCTTTCCTGTCATTCTGTGTGATTTTGATCAACTGTCCGCTCAGAGACACTAGATGACCCAAGATGTTGCTGTCGGTAGCATTCCCTTTATCATCTTGGCTGGCATCATCTTTGGTATCTTGGTAACTGGGCAGTCTGAACACAACACCATCAACCACCAGTTGAGACAAGTCTAGGCTTTGCCACTCCTGAATAGATTAAAGATAAAGAAATATATATATATATATATATATATATATATATATATATATATATATTTATTTATTTATTTATTTATACACCAGTAAGGTATGATCTACGACAACCTCCCCACCGTACACACTAGCTGACTAATGATTGGTCGGCCTCCAGTCACCCGACCTTCGCACACTGCTAGTGTTGAGCGGCAACCCATTTCTATCGCGTGTTGAATATTTAAATGCGCTGCCTCTTTAAGCACTGCAAAATCATTTACAAACTGGGTCTAACCCGCAATGCCACTAGAGAGTGCTGCAACCTATGTCACAGGCATTCTCTTTTTTGGAAGAAAAACTTAAATGCATGACAAGCCAGATTCCCCGGACAGCAGACGAGTCTAAAAAATCCAGCAACACGACGTAGTTCGCCTATGGAGATTATCGTGGATCTCATCCACCAGTTACACTCCATGGTGGAAACTATCAACAAAACACCGACAAGACTTTCACTGTTAAATGAAACAATACTGGTCAAAACTAACGACCAGAAACACTTTCACTGTTGAATTAAATAATACTGGACAAAACTAACGACAAGAAACACTTTCACTGTTAAATGAAACCAAACTGGACAAAACTAACGACCAGAAACACATTCACTGTTGAATTAAATAATACTGGACAAAACTAACGACAAGAAACACTTTCACTGTTGAATTAAATAATACTGGACAAAACTAACAAGAAACATTTTCACTGTAAAATTAAATAATATTCGACAAAACTAACAAGAAATACTTTCACTGGTAAATTAAATCATATTTGACAAAACAAATGACAAGAAACAATTTCACTGTTAAATTAAATAATATTCGACTAAAATAATGACAAGAAATACTTTCACTGTAAAATTAAATCATATTTGACAAAACAAATGACAAGAAACAATTTCACTATTAAATTAAATAATATTCGACTAAAATAATGACAAGAAAAACTCTCAATCTTAAATGGAATAATATTTGACAAAACAAATGACAAAAAACACTTTCAATGTTACATTAAATAATATTTGACAAAAATAACGACAATAAACACTTTCAATGTTAAATGAAATAATTTTTGACAAAACAGATGACAAGAAACACTTTCACTGTTGAATTAAACAATATTCGACAAAAATAACGACAAAAAAACGTTCACCGTTAAATTAAATAATATTCGACAAAACAAATGACAAGAAACACTTACGGTGCTGACTGGAAGGAAAGCTGTGCTTCTTGCCTTACCATCACCCATTAGTTGTGTTGCGTTAGTGGTGTTCAACATATCCTGCGGGAACATAGTCGTTCATTCTTTTAACATAGAAAGTAAAGGACTTTTTTCCTCACCTTCAGGCGTAGTGGGCATATAGGGCTAGACCTATATTTTATAGACCAATCGGCACTTGGTGGGTGATGTAGTCAGCATCACGCTGGCCGTCTTTACTTCCCAAAATTGCATCTGGTACCCACTCAGGGTGGGGTCGACCTGGGAGCCAAGGTCGTTTTTGAAGAAAGCCCCGCTCTGTCGGGACCCGAACCCGCCCCCTTCCAATCCGCAGGCGAGCATCTAGCAACTCCCTTTATCATAGATAGGAATTGCAAATAGCATACAAGAAATTGCATTGAAAGGTTTCATTACACCGCCAGGTTTTCTCCCAATAGTTGGGCCTCTAGCTGCGAAGCGGATGTTCGCCCATCGAGAGCGTTTCACAAAGCACAGTACAATGTAGCTATAGCTACGACCCTAGGGTTACGGAAACACCTGGTGTCGAAAACTAAGCACGAGGTCTAAAACAGAACCGACAATATTTTTTCCCTTCGATGCCGCCGGTTGAAGAATCCTAACATACCCCCCCCCCCATCCCACCTTCGCCCCACCCCCACTCCCACCCACTCCTTTTTTCATTCGGTTCACGTCACTGAAAAAGCGCACCATTCGTTTAGTAATTAATAATCATGAGACAGTCAGTTCCAAAACATATAAAGATCTGATGCTACTATCGCTTCGAGAACGTCTACTTTTCAAAAAGGCTAAATTTGTTCACAAAATATTATTAAAAAGGCCCTATGCTACTTATGGCCGTTGTTTAAATATAATGGAATAGATAGCAAACGCCTAGGCATATCCCTAAACCTAGGATAGACATATACAAAACAGGTTTGGCGTACACTACAGCGCAACTGTGGAACTATTTTCCACACACACGTACACGCATACACCCCACACACCCCACTCACACACCCACACACACCCCCGACACACACACACCCACACACCCCACACACACACCCACAATACACTCCCACACACAACACACACCCCACACAAACACACCACACCCCCTCACCTTTTTTTTCACCCCCCCCCCCCCTCACCCCCAGGAAGAAAAAGAAGAAGAAAAAGATAAAATAAAATTACAGACTCACATTTGCCTGAAGCCACGAGTAAAGATATCTCAGTTCCCAGATCCTGGCCATGGCATCAATGAGGTCAGTAGAACAGACTCTCCCATCTCCGGCATAACCTTGTTTGCACTGACAGCCGGCACTCTCTAGATGTTAATAATCAACAAATGGATGTAGATAATTCATGTTAAACGACAGACAGACATGGTGTGTGAATGGTAGACTTCGGATAGTAAACAATAGACACACATGCTTTTGGATAAGAAGAAACATATTGCGATAGTTATAGGATAGTAAACAAAAGATTTTTATCGATGTTGGATGACAAACAGCACACATATAAGGATGTTGGATGGTAAAGAACAGATAAACTGGTTTCTGTCATGCAAACAACATACCGACGTAGAGTTTCGATAGTAAACAACAGATGGACATGACATATGTATGGATGATATTGATTATAGAAGATACCAGCATACAAACAGAGATGCTGCATGGTAAACAACAGGATGTTGGCTAGCAAACTTTAGTTAAACATGGATGTTGGATAGTAATGAAATTTGCAATGGCAAACTACTGAACGTACAAAAATCTAGTAAAACCATAAACAGTTACCAAATGCTATGGCTGGTTGCAACGTCAATTTTTGCTGGTCTCTCAGGTCAGTCCGGGATAAAACTGGTACAGGAAAAGTAAAGGCGGACCTTATAATGGTGACCTCACCTGGCATTCTCTCTAAGTCAGCAAACCACTTGACTCTAAGTCAGCAAACCACTTGACTCTAAGTAAGCAAACCACTTGACTCTAAGTCAACAAACCACTTGACTCTAAGTCAACAAACCACTAGACTCTAAGTCAACAAACCACTCGACTCCAAGTCAACAAACCACTCGACTCTAAGTCAACAAACTCGACAGCAAACCAGTAGACTCTAAGTCAACAAACTAAGTTGGCTCTAAGTCAACAAACCACTCGACTCCAAGTCGACAAACCACTCGACTCCAAGTCGACAAACCACTCGACTCCAAGTCAACAAACCACTGGACTCTAAGTCAACAAACCACTTCACTTTAAGTCAGCGAGCCACTTGATCTGCCTCCTTTGTATTATTTTAGAACTGGTTCTGTACCTAATCTTTCTCTTATGACTTTGTGTCTGATTGTATGTCTCCTGGTGCCCCATGCAGCCTTTCTTAAACATCTTGTTACAAAGGTTACTAATGTTCTTTTCTAGTTTGTTGTGACTGACCATGTCTGGTACTGGCAGTAAGTAAGTGAGTTGTACCACACTAGGACATTACATAGAGCGATAAACACCCGGTGACACAAAGTGCCACCATGCGAATGAGGATCACCCGTGGAGAGGTCCCAGAAACCGCGTTCAGCCATTAGACCACAATTATGGCAGGGCTATATTGCCACCTCTGGCAAGAGCCAGAGTAGGGCTTCAAATAACGAAAAATTGCTTCCCACAAAGGGATGACAAGAGATATTGTATGATATAGATGAAGTACTGGCAGAATAGAGTGGGAACGAATATGCTTTGTATGCGATGTTTTTGTGTGCTGAATTGGATTGTCTTATAATGTAACAGTGGCGGGTAGCTGTCTTAATACTTGGTTTGCTTAACTGTATATGATGCCATTTCTTTCACTGAATATTAAGGTTGTCTAAACACGTATGTCACTAAAATGAAAAGCTGAGAAAACTCTGCACCGTAGAATCGGTCTTGATAATCAATCTCAACACATTTTTTTTATGAACAAGGGAAATAATTACGTTTAAGATTAAGGAAGAATAATTTATACTAGTGGTTACGTACCTTTACCGCACGCCGCTCACTGCGCAACACTGTTCTCTCGTTATGCATTTGTAAATTATGTTTGTCAGCTTAGCTGTTGCGAAGATACTTTCTGCTACGATAACCCGTTCATGTCTCACGATTCTGCTATTATAACATTTTATCATCTAAGACATTACTCTGCTATTTATCCTGTTTTTTTTTTGCCATCAAGAATTTATTTTTAAAAAAAAAACAGTCTCCATGTGGGATACAATGTTTTGTTTTTGGAAGCCCCACCCTGGCTTCTACCGGGTGCTCCGAATATAGCAGGGCTATAAACATGGCCTAGGCCAAAGATATGGCCAAACGGCTGAAAGGAGCTACTGGGACCTTTCCACGGGTGATCCTCATCCGCCTTTTTAGTGCCTTGGTGAGGTACAACCACCTACCTACTTACTAACAAGAAAAGCGTCCTTTCACGCCGTAACATGTCCGGACTTCCGGTTATTTTGTAACCATTGGAAACCGCCCGCAGTATAACCTAAAGGTTGAACCGGGTTTCTGAGATTTGTACCTGGGGGATTCTTGTCCGAGTAAAGGCACATTGCACTTTGTGTCACTTGGTTTTAATCGCTCAGTGTGCGGTCCAAGTGGGGTGCAACTATACTGATCAAGAACAGCGAAATAAAAATACAGGTTTGACTATCGAGGAAAAGGGCAGGAAAAATGACAAATCATTTGTTTTTTTAGACTGAAGGGCAGGATACCCAGGAGTATAATAATGATAATAGCTTTTCATTATAGATAAGTATTTAATAATAAAGACAAAGCAAGCCAGTTTTAAAGCAATAAACAAACACACACACGCACAAACACACACACACACACCAGAGAGAGAGAATATAAGGATAGAGAGGAAAACGGTGTTACTTTTTTTTGCTGATTAGAGTAAACAAGACAAGCCAGCTTTTATTTAAAGAAGAGGAAGAAGCAGAAGCAGAAGAAGAAGAAGAAGGAAGAAGAAGAAGAAGAAGAAGAAGAAGAAGAAGAAGAAGAAGAAGAAGAAGAAGAAGAAGAAGAAGAAGAAGAAGAAGAAGAAGAAGAAGAAGAAGAAGAAGAAGAAGAAGAAGAGAAGATGAAGAAGAAGAAGAAGAAGAAGAAGAAGAAGAAGAAGAAGAAGAAGAAGAAGAAGAAGAAGAAGAAGAAGAAGAAGAAGAAGAAGAAGAAGAAGAAGAAGAAGAAGAAGAAGAAGAAGAAGAAGAAGAAGAAGAAGAAGAAAAGAAGTAAGAAGAAGAAGAAGAGAAGAAGAAGAAGAAGAAGAAGAAGAAGAAGAAGAAGAAGAAGAAGAAGAAGAAGAAGAAGAAGAAGAAGAAGAAGAAGAAGAAGAAGAAGAAGAAGAAGAAGAAGAAGAAGAAGAAGAAGAAGAAGTAAAAGAAGAAGTAAAAGAAGAGGAAGAAGAAGGAGAAGAAGACGAAAGTAGGAAGGCGGAAAAAGGAACCAGAAGAGGAAAGATATTAGGAGAAGGAGTAGTTCCGCTGACAAGCTGCCGAAGATTAGACTGAATGAATCTCACCTTGGATCATATCTGTGACCTTAGGTACAATATAGGTGCACGTTGCTCTCTGAAGGTCACAGCCACCATTCTTCGAAGCACAGGGGTCAAAATTTTCTTGACACCATGTGCCATTACCATGGAAACCTTGGCGACATGTGCACTCCACAGCAAGCTTAGAAACCTGAAAAGAAAAAGAAAGAAAGACTGCTATAATTTTTGTTATGGACTAAGCCATAAATATAATAAATTCTTTATCTTGTCTTCATCCTTTTTTAAGCACAGGAGCTCAGTCAGCTCGGTCGGTTGAAGTTTTCTTTTTCGAACTGCTCATAGCAGGTTCGAGTTTGGAGTGAAATGTTTTATGAAATGCAGAAGCTAACCTCAGGACTAATCATATCCTAAATGGTCCTTTACGACATACTTGGGATGGTATACCGTTATTACAATTTTTCGTGTAACCCTCCTTGGTTGCCTCTTACAACATGGATGGTATAGTTTCATTCAGATGAGCTAGAACACGGAATCACCCCCCACCAGATCGCAAGAAAATGTATTACTTTGAGTTGCCGTAATGAAATGTGCCCTCTATAATAATACATAGAAATTCTTGTTTCCAGGACAAACATTTCCTGTATTTCAAATATAATATTGGATTTATTTATTTACCACTTCATACATCATCAACATCATCATCATCATATCATCAACATCATTCTTTAAAAGCATTATCATCATCATTACCATCATTACAAACTTGGAAGACTTAGACATATTAGGGGCCACCAGAAAGTTTTAAGGGGTCTTAAGGCCCCACCCCACCCTGTGGGGGATCTAATGTATTTTTGTGTGTGCTGGTGCCCTTTCTTTCCCGTTACCATTTTTTGCATTCTTTAACGACTCCGGCACAAAACGTACTATATTTTCTTTTTAATCCGTCAATCAAAATATCCACCAACCAATCAATCAATCAATCAATCAATCAATCAGACGCGAGTGTAAAACATGAGGCAGCATAAATGAAGGGCAGATCACGTGTTTAGGGCGAAAAACGTAACAAGTTCCAGAGATTTAACTAAAAGAATGCATTGCTTACACCAGATGATAACCGAACACATGTTGTAGTTCACTTTACTTCTTAGGACTTTTACCTGGTACCCATTTAAAGCTGACCAGACCTAAGTAAAGTTAAAGACCCTTTTTTACGTCTTCAAGTGTATTGGCACAGAGGGTTATACCTTTATGTTATAGACCAATCGACACTCGATGTATGAAGTGGTCAGCATCGTGCCTACAGTCTTTACTTCCTATGACTTTTATCTGGTACCCACTCATTGTGGATCGTCCTGAGAGCCAAGGCCGTTTCCGCTTCGTCAGGACCTTTTTTTTTTATGTCCAGAAACCATGAGTTGTTAATCCTTTAGCTCGGTACTATGGATATCGCAACCCTTCGGCCTTGATTCCATGATAGGTACCGTAAATCTGGGAGAAATGTGGCTTTTCTGCCTACCCCCAAAAGTGAACCCGGACCACAAGGAGTTCATCACCCGGTCACCGCAATGTCAGGTTTAACCAACTACGCTGGAGAGCCGGGCCGTCAGGACCTTAACCCACGACCTTTTGATCCGCACGAAACCGTTTGAAAGCTATTCCGACTCAACGCGGTCCCTTGGCGCCGACTGGAGAGCGTCTTGCCGCGAGAATTAGTCCTAGACCTAGTCCTTTTGAGAAAAACATTAAAAGTTCGACCACTTTCAGACTGCTGCTAGCTAGCCGAGGCTGCCAACAGTCTCCGCTTATATTTGTGGTCTGGGTTTTTTGCGTCATTTTCGTGACTGAATTCCAGTGTCTGCGCCATTTCTGGGCTTGATGCTCCCATCCGATTCAGACCGCTCGTCCTCCATCCTGGTGTTACTTGTGCATGTCTTTCCTTTTTTTTTTTTTTTTTTGGTGTTTTCGGTTTGTTTTGTCTCCCTTTGATTTTGCCAGGCGTATTTCGTAGGGGAGCGCGCTTTTCCACATAACATCCTTTGGACCACTATTTACAGTTTTGAAATTTTAAGTATTTTATTTTGCCAAAAAGTACTGAAAAGAGTTTTTGATTTTGGAAAGTGCGGCGAGAATACAGCGGCTATCTTTACAGACAACCAGACCGGACGACCGTGTGTACTGTTGCGCACGTAAAAAAAAATCACTTGGCAGTTGGAAATCGAAAACAGCAGCCTAACGGCGCTGCCAGGGCAAAATTTTGAGTTTAATATCTACCCAAAATATTTCAGGATCCTCGCCTGTGCAACATAGTTCGTGCACTGCGGTGCGATTCTTCAGACTCAGGCTTGGGTTAGAAGAAGAAGAAGGGAGCACTTATGAGTTGTACCAGTGTTTCATGATGTTAATCCGTTGAATAAACAAACATAAACAAACATATTAAAGACAACAATGTCAGTTGAAACTGAATCTACTGACGTTAACGGTACAGCTGGCAGAAGGATGAGTATACTCAAGTTAACAGTACAGCTGGCAGAACGATGAATATACTCACGTTAACAGTACAGCTGGCAGAACGATGAATATACTCACGTTAACAGTACAACTGACAGAAGGATGAATCTACTCACGTTAACAGTACAGCTGACAGAAGGATGAATCTACTCACGTTAACAGTACAGCTGACAGAAGGATGAATCTACTCACGTTAACAGTACAACTGACAGAAGGATGAATCTACTCACGTTAACAGTACAGCTGACAGAAGGATGAATCTACTCACGTTAACAGTACAGCTGGCAGAAGGATGAATCTACTCACGTTAACAGTACAACTGACAGAAGGATGAATCTACTCACGTTAACAGTACAGCTGACAGAAGGATGAATCTACTCACGTTAACAGTACAGCTGACAGAAGGATGAATCTACTCACGTTAACAGTACAGCTGGCAGAAGGATGAATCTACTCACGTTAAAAGTACAGCTGGCAGAAGGATGAATCTACTCACGTTAAAAGTACAGCTGGCAGAAGGATGACACCCGCCGTTGACTAAAATGTCACACTGAGACCTGCATGTGTAGCCATCACCTACATATCCAAGAGAACATCTGCAGCTCACGCCACTGCTCGTGTCGTTACAAACAGCGTGCTCACTGCAATTGCCGTTCCTGTAGCCGCAGCTGGTGTATGCTGGGAATGAAGAATAAACGTTATGTCATTTTAGGGGATTGAAGTTGTTGGCAATTGAGTGACCAGAGGTGCAGTTTTCCATTGGGACTGTTTGTGTTTTGAGGATTGTTTAAAAAAAATAACATCTAGGAAAGAAACTTGAGGATATGGTGAATGATGCTAAACCCCACCAAGACGGTACAACAAATAATTAACACCCCGGTGACACAAAGTGCCAACATTCGGACGATAAACTCTCCCTCTCTCTTTGTCTCCATCTCCTGTTTAACCATTAGGTTATACTAGGGCCTCCGACACAAGCCGGGGTGGAGTTTTGAAACAAAACAAAAAAAATTAATCCTCCGACACAAGCCGGGGTGGAGTTTTAAAACAAAACAAAAAAATTAATACAAAAATTTGCGTCATACAGTGGAATGGAGTTAACGCTAGAGAACTGAACATGCAAGTATATTTACATCTGTGCACCT